GCCCCTCCCACAGTGGTACCGGCCCAAGCACCGAGCCCCCCCCAACCCCCCTCTGCTGCGCAGCGCTGTGGTACGGCCCCAGGCACACAGCGCCCCCCCCTTACGCCATGCGGTGGTACGGCCCGGGGCGCTGCGTCCCCACAAGATGGCGTCCCCCGCCCTGCAGGCCCCACAGGCCGCAACGTCCTCCCTCTGCCTCCTGCAGGGGCCGGGGGGTCCCGAAACGCTCCCTTCATTCGTGCGGTCAACACGGATTCACCAAGGGGAGGTCACGTCTGACTAACCTGATGGCCTTCTACCGTGGCGTGGCTGGTTGGATAGGTGGGAGGAGGGCGGTGGATGTTGTCTGCCGTGGTTTCAGCAAGGCTTTTCACTGAATTTCACTGAATTTTTAGAGTTGGAAGGGACCATAGAGATCATCTAGTCCCACTCCCCTGCTAAAGCAGAACCACCCAGAGCATGTCAGATCATGCCACTCAGGACTGCATCCAGGCTGGTCTTGAAAATCTCCAAAGAAGGGGACTCCACACCCTCCCTGGGCAGCCTGTTCCAGGGCTCCGTCACCCTCACTGTGAAGAAGTTCTTCCTCATATTCAAGTGGAACCCTTTATGTTCCAGCTTGTGCCCATTGCCCCTTGTCCTCTCACTGGGAACCACTGAAAAGAGTCTGGCTCCCTCCTCCCTCAGCCCGCCCTTGAGATACTTGTCAGCGTTAATAAGGTCTCCCCTCAGCCTTCTCTTCTCCAGGTCAAGAGCCCCAGCTCTCTCAGCCTTTCCTCATCAGGGAGATGCTCCAATCCCTCCATCATCTTTGTTGCCCTTCGCTGGACTCTCTCCAGCAGTTCCCTGTCCCTCTTGAACTGGGGAGCCCAGAACTGGAGGCAGGATTCCAGTTGTGGCCTCCCCAGTGCAGAGCAGAGGGGGAGAATGACCTCCCTCCACCTCCTGGCCACACTCTTCCCTATGCAGCCCAGACACCTTTTGACACCGTCTCCCACAGCATCCTCATTGGTAAGCTTAGGAAGTGTGGGTTAGAGGAATGGACAGTGGGGTGAATTCAAAACTGCCTGAAAGACAGAGCCCAGAGGGTTCTTATTAGTGGCACAGGATCCAGTCAGAGATGGGGCCTCCCCAGGGCAGAGCAGAGGGGCAGGATGACCTCCCTCCACCTGCTGCTCACACTCTTCCTGATGCCCCCCAGGATGCCATTGACCTTCTTGGCCACAAGGGCCCATTGCTGGCTCATGGCCATCCTATTGTCCACCAGGACTCCCAGGTCTTTCTCCTCAGAGCTGCTCTCCAGCAGGTCACCCCCAACCTGTCCTGGTGCAGGGGGTTATTCCTCCCCAGGTGCAGCACCCTACACTTGCTTCTGTTGAAGTTCAGTTCACTGAAATTCAGTGAAAACTGCCTGAAAGAAAGAGCCCAGAGGGTTCTTATTAGTGGCACAGGATCCAGTCAGAGGTCTTCAACAAGTGGAGTCCCCCAGGGGTCAGTACTGGGCCCAGTCCTCTTTGATATATTCATCAATGACCTGGATGAAGGGATGGAATGTCCCCTCAGCAAGTTTGCTGATGATACAAAACCGGGAAGGGTGGCTGACACCCCAGAAGGCTGTGCCACCATCCTGTGAGACCTGGACAGGCTGGAGAGTTGGGCAGAGAGGAACGTGATGAACTTCAACAGAAGCAAGTGCAGGGTGCTGCACCTGGGGAGGAATAACCACCTGCACCAGGACAGGGTGGGGGTGACCTGCTGGAGAGCAGCTCTGAGGAGAAAGACCTGGGAGTCCTGGTGGACAGCAGGATGATCATGAGCCAGCAATGGGCCCTTGTGGCCAAGAAGGCCAATGGCATCCTGGGGGGCATCAGGAAGAGTGTGAGCAGTAGGTGGAGGGAGGTCATCCTGCCCCTCTGCTCTGCCCTGGGGAGGCCCCATCTGCAGCACTGGGACCAGTTCTGGGCTCCCCAGTTCCAGAAGGACAGGGAACTGCTGGAGAGGGGACAGCAGAGGGCTACAGAGATGATGAGGGGCCTGGAGCATCTCCCTTCTGAGGAGAGGCTGAGGGACTTGGGTCTTTTTAGTCTGGAGAAGAGAAGGCTGAGGGGGGATCTGATCAATGCTTATAAATACTTAAAGGGTGGGTGTCAGGAGGATGGGGCTGGTCTTTTTTCAGTGGTGCCCAGGGACAGGACAAGAGGAAATGGGCCCAAACTTGAACATAAGAAGTTCCACCTAAACATAAAGAAGAAAGTTCTTTGCTGTGAGGGTGGCAGAGCCCTGGCAGAGGCTGCCCAGGGAGGTGGTGGAGTCTCCTTCTCTGGAGACATTCAAACCCCACCTGGACACGTTCCAGTGGGACCTGCTCTGGGTGGCCCTGCTTTGGCAGGGGGTTGGACTAGATGGTCTCCAGAGGTCCCTTCCAACCCCATGTCATTCTGTCATTCTGTGATTTGCGTGCTGCAGGCTTGCTGGCTTCTCTCCCAAAGAGGAAGCTCTCTGACCCCCTCAACCCCCCCAGCATCTCCACCTACGTCATGGCCAGGGTCACCACCACACAACCTCAGAACAACCCTCAGCCACCCCACACCCACCTTCCAACACTGGGGGCAACCCCAGGGGGTGCCACCAGGACCCCCAGGACACACCTTGGGGTGTGTGAGAGCGTGAGGGAGGCGATGGGGGCCTTCCCCATGGCGACCCCTCCACCAGCTGCTGTGGGGTCAGCGCTGAAACCTGGCCCCACGCAGCCCAGCTCAAAGCTGGTGTCTGGGGACCCGGCTTTGTCCCCACATCCCACTTGTGAGCATCTTCCCCACGCACAGAAACCACCACGCGCCCGCCCGGCACACGCATCACAACGTCACTTTTATTGAGTCGAGGTTCCCTCCGCTTTCCGCACGTAGAAAATACACATTTTAAAAAGGCCGGTGTTTTGTAAACAGTCAGGGGAGAGGTAAGGCAAACAGAGAAACTGCCACAGCACCGCCATACCCCCCCCTACTCTCAACCCCCCCGGGGGGATGAGGGAGTCCAACGGCTCCCTGGGTGACAACCAAGGACGTGGGACGCCACCTCTGTCTCCACTTCAGCCATGGGACCTCGGCTGTGGGGAAAGCCAGAGCCACAGAAGCCACCAAGCACCCAACCTCTCCTCTGCCTTGATGGGGGACAGGCACTGAAAGGCATCTGGGCATCTGCTGAGCCTTGAGCATCCTGGTCCCTGCTGGACCCCACGGGAGGTGGCTTCTGTGCTCCCCATGTCCAGGGGGAGCCATCGGTGGGGTCGGGGGGTGTCAGGGTGGGTGGGCACCCTCTTCTTTAGGCCAAGGGGTCCTTCAAGTCCCAGCACCGGCTCTCAGGCAGGAGCTGGGCAAAGGGGCTCAGGAGGCAGCTGGTGCCTATGAACCGGGGCAGGGGGTGTTGCTGGAGCCTGGTTTTGTCAAAAATGGAGGGCACAGCAATTTGGAGGTACCTTTGGGGCGGCAGGAGGGACATGTGCTTTCACAGGGTCCCACACAGCGGTCACGCTGTTCCTCAGGCTTTTCTTCCTCCTGCTCCATGGGCGTCTCCCCATCTTGTCCCACGGGGCAGAGGGGAGGTCCACATTTACAGGCAACAAGCCAGCAGGGAGAGATGAAACATTACACATGCTGTCTTCCCACCCCCCCACACTGGTCACAGAGGGAAAGAGCTGTGGTGAGAAGGACAGAAGCAGGCCATGGTTCACCTTCCCACCAGGACACCCTAGGCTGCTTCCTGAAGGTGGTTTTGTCAAAAATGGAGGGCACAGCGATTTGGAGGTACCTTTGGGGAGGCAGGAGGGACACGTGCTTTCACAGGGTCCCACACAGCAGTCACGGTGTTCCTGGGGCTTTTCTTCCTCCTGCTCCATGGGGGTCTCCCCATCTCGTCCCGCGGGGCAGAGGAGAGGTCCACATTTACAGGCAGCAAGCCGGCAGGGAGAGATCAAACATTACATGTGCTGTCCTCCCACCCCCCACCACTGGTCACAGAGGGACTGGTCACAGCTGTGGTGAGAAGGACAGAAGCAGGCCATGGTTCACCTTCCCACCAGGACACCCTGGGCTGCTTCCTGAAGGTGCAGGAGTGGCCAAGCCAGGTGGTGCACAAAGCTGGGCCGGACCCTCATCACAGACACACATCAATTCCTGTCTCCCCCAGGGTTTTAGAAGCCAAACAAGGAACCAGGGAACTCAAAAGACCAAACAGGAGCAGTTTGTCGTTGAGGTTTAACTCCTCCAGCCAACTTTGCAGCTGGAGGAACCGCTCAACCCAGCGAGAGCAGAAGTGAAAATACTGTCCAGGCAACACAGGGACAGCCCAGGGCAACATCAGCCACAGAGTGTGTAAACGGCCAAGGGAGTGGTATAAAATAGATTAATACTGACTGCTTTGTCCCCAAAGCATTCCTCAAAACCTGCACCTGGCCCAGTCCCATTCCCTGGACACCTCCTGGAAGAACAGGATTGGAACTTTGGAGGAGAGCTCTAGTCTAGTGTCTCCAGAAGGTTGATATGGCCACTCCAGCGAGTGAGTAACCCCCGGGAGGGAAAAACCCACCGGTGTGTCCCTACCCTGGGCTCGTCCCGATCCTCCAAAAAGAAATGGGGCTGAAGGCAATGGTCCCACTTGGTAACAGAAAGTGCAGCTCAGGCGGAGGGAGATGTAAGAGGAGGAGACCGGCCAGAGGAGCCGTGGGAAAGCAGAGTTCAAACCAAACACTGACACAGAAGAGGACTATGGGGAACGTTGTCCTGTCTGATAAACACCACTAATAATTCCCTTTATGCAAGACACGTCGTTTCCCTCCGATCTTGGGAGAAGAAGGAGCTTTAAGGTGTGGAGAGGAGCTCCACCGGCCCAGGGGAACGCGGGTGGGAGCAGCGTGCCTTGGCAAAACCCCAACCGCCACCCCGTAGTGATGTCTCGGGTGGTGATGTCCAGCCCCGAGGGGCAGAACGGGCAGGACCTGGACTACAGTTCCCCTTGTAGTGATGCTCTGGCTTCACCAGGGAGTCAGGGCTGAGAGGACAAGCCTGACTGCCTGGTCGCGTTAAGACGACGAGATACAAACCACCGCAGGGCTCTTTCAGCCAAGCCCCAGATCTTCCTAACACACCACCCGCATTTTTCTCCCCACTTCCCTTTGGTCCTAGGGGAATTCTGCAGCAGCAGCACGGTCTGGCCTGGAGGAGGAGTCAGGCCGTGAGATCCACGAAGATGGCGTTGGCAGTGGTCTGTCCAAAGATGAAAGCTCCAAGGGTGACCATGAACACCCCGTAGCTGACCTGGGCCCACCAGCTGTGGATCCAGAAGGACAGGGAATGTTCAGAGGGAGACCTTCACACCAACATCCGCAGGGGAAGTGGGGAGAGGGGAAACACATTTCGATTACCTGATTGCCCTGGTTTCTTGGATCTCAGAGAGCTTGGCTTGGATCAGGCAGAGCCCTGAGAGGGAGAGGAGGCAAATTAAACCCAGACGAGGACTGAGCAGACACCCCACAGACCATGGAGCCACACTCCCATTACAGAGCACAGAGTCCAGTCATAGGATCATAGAATCATTAAATGGTTTGGATTGAAAGGGACCTTAAAGACCATCCAGTTCCGCCCCCCTGCCCTGGGCAGGGACACCTCCCACCACACCAGGTTGCTCCAAGCCCCCTCCAACCTGCCCTTGAACCCCTCCAGGGATGGGGCAGCCACAGCTTCTCTGGGCAACCTGTTGCCCAGTCAAAATAGCTGGGCTGCCAACCAACCTCCCGCCACACTTCTGTCCTTCTCTAAAGACCTTCTGGTTCCTGCATCTCCATCCCGCTCCCTCCCTCTTCGAGACACAAGGCCAAGAGACCCACGCCAGCATCCCAGGATGCTCCACCTGGGAAGACGAAGATGAAGCAGGCAGCCAAGCCCCCGATGACAGAGATGACTTTGCCGATGTCGGGGATGAAGAGAGCCAGGAGGAGGGTCAGGAGGAACCAGCTGATGGTCTGAAGCAGGCGCCGCCTCCGCTCCCGAACCACGTCCTCCTCCACCGTCACCCCGGTGTAGCGGAGCCAGAGACCCTCCAAGACAGCCCTGTGGACACAGATGTGGGGCAGTTTCCTCATGCTGCCCCTCCTGCCCACACCAGCCCCTGCCTTCCTCCCAGCGCTCACCGGCCACAGAAGTGCAGGATAGGGTAGGACGTCAGCACGCAGAGTATGATGAAGGCCCGGGCCAGAGCAACAGGGATGTCGTTGGAGGGGTAGGACAGCAAGACATCCTGCTCCACGCCAGCTCCAAAGGTCAGGAAACCACAGACGCCTGGTGGGAAGGGAGCAGTCAGTGGGGGACAAGGACAAGCCTCCTCCATGCGTGTTTGAGGGACATGGATGGATGGATATGGCACAGGGCACATTGCAGGGGGTTGAGATGGACTCCCCTCCCTTTCCTCCCTTCTGAACCAGAGGGTCCCTGCCCTCCAGAAGTTCACAGCCCCTCTGAGGATCACGCCATGCTCACACGGTGTCCCCTGACTCACCGGTGCCCGTGTAGACGAAGAGAGCGATCACCATGGCCGCCGTCACCACCGCCCCCCAGGTCTTCACCTCTGGCTGCTTCATGCTGTTAAAGACGGGGACGCTGCTCACGTGGCACTGCCAGGGACACGGAGAGAGAGCGGGGACACACGATGGGCTGAGCCTGACCACACAGGGAGCCACATGGGATCCCAAGCGTGATATCATCAGGTTTGTCATGATGTCGTGATCCCCCCAGGTGTGTCGCTGTACAGGTTGGGGGTGACCTGCTGGAGAGCAGCTCTGAGGAGAAAGACCTGGGAGTCCTGGTGGACAACAGGATGCCCAGGAGCCAGCAATGGGCCCTTGTGACCAAGAAGGCCAATGGCATCCTGGGGGGCATCAGGAAGAGTGTGAGCAGCAGGTGGAGGGAGGTCATCCTGCCCCTCTGCTCTGCCCTGGGGAGGCCCCATCTGGAGCACTGGGACCAGTTCTGGGCTCCCCAGTTCCAGAAGGACAGGGAACTGCTGGAGAGGGGACAGCAGAGGCTACAGAGATGGTGAGGGGCCTGGAGCATCTCCCTTCCGAGGAGAGGCTGAGGGACTTGGGTCTTTTGAGTCTGGAGAAGAGAAGGCTGAGGGGGGATCTGATCAATGCTTATAAATACTTAAAGGGTGGGTGTCAGGAGGATGGGGCTGGTCTTTTTTCAATGGTGCCCAGGGACAGGACAAGAGGAAATGGGCCCAAACTGGAACATGGGAAGATCCATCTAAACCTGAGGAGGAAGTTCTTTGCTGTGAGGGTGGCAGAGCCCTGGCAGAGGCTGCCCAGGGAGGTGGTGGAATCTCCTTCTCTGGAGACATTCAAACCCCACCTGGACACGTTCCTGTGGGACCTGCTCTGGGTGGCCCTGCTTTGGCAGGGGGTTGGACTAGATGGTCTCCAGAGGTCCCTTCTAACCCCAGGTGATTCTGTGGTTGCCTAGGGGTGGAGCATCCCCCAACCATGCCAGTCCCCCACCCAGGTGGCAGCAGGGTGGGATGGGGAGCACTGGGCTCCTGGCCTTACCTGGAAGCCAAAGCAGATGGTGGGCATGGCATTGAAGACAGCGGTCCAGGTGGAGGGGCTGGCAGGAGAGAAACACCCACCAGTCAGAGTGGGGCTCCCTGCGACCCCCCTCTCAGCGCCCAGGGGGTGTCCAGTGATGGGCTCACTCCTCTGCTGACCTGCTTGCCCCCTGCAGCTACTGTGTCCCCCCACCCAGGATAACGCCTGTGCACGGAGTGAAGTTTTCCTGGGACTTGGCACCTCCTGAAGACCAGGGCCTTTCGCTGGGATAGAACCAGCCAAAATTGAGAGCTTACACAAATAAAAGCAGAGGTGAAAAAATAATCATCTACTCGGGAAGTGCCGAGAACCCTTCTACATTTGGCTCTGCCCTAAAATTCCCACTGCCCACACTGGGTCCATAGATGTCCCCAGTCCAGGAGGGAGGGGACAAGGCACAGGAGCTGTGCTGGCCAAGGAAATAACCAGAAATCATCCTAAAATAGACACAGCCCTTGGTGCTTGGCGAGCGCAAACGCTGCACGGGGAGCTCTGGGCTTGGCTGTGTTGGAGCCAGGAGTCAATCATTTCTCCTCAAAACCCGTGATGGAGCCATGGGGACCTCCAAGAGGTCTTTTTCCTCTCCTTCCCTGCCGTTCCCCCACCCCTGCCTGGCCCTGCAATGGCCACTGTCAGCATCGTGTCCCTTGCCCTCACCTGGTGGGGATCTCCACGGGCACGAGCTCCTTGTCGGGCCAGATGTACTTGATGATGATGACTGCCGTGACATACCAGGTGCCGATCACGCTCAGGGAGCTGCAGGAGGGGACAGGAGGCTGTCAGCTGCCTCCCCGCTCTGTGAAGGGTCTCCTCGAGCCTTTCCAACCCCATTTTCCTCCCTGCAAAGCCTGGGCCACCCAAGTCCTTCCCATCAGGACCACCCCTGCTCTCCCTTCCCATGGGCATATCCACCTGCTGTCCCCAGAGCAGATGCCACGCTTGGGGGCCGTCCCGTGCCACTGTGAGCTGGGGATGGGCTGGCTTTTGGGCAAGAGAAAGAGGTGAGTGGCAGTGGTGGCCCTCGGTGGCCATGGTCCAGCTCCAGCAGCCAGGTTACACCAAGATGCTTGGTGGAGCAGGGCTGGCCTGCAGACCACCCGGCCAGGGGACCCTTTCTGCTGGGTGGCCAACTCCAAAGACAAGGGACAACGCAGTTGAAAGTCTCCCTGGTTCTTCCAGCAAGTAGAAGGGAGGGACACAAGCCACGGAGCATGACACTGTGGCCACACAGTGCTCAGCAGCTCCTCTGCTTCCCAGATGGGGAAACTGAGGCAGGGGAAGGAGATGTTCAACCTCTCAGGGGCACTAGAACCACGGTGTTTCCACTCCCTGTCCCCTGGGACCATACTTAGGTGGGCGCCTGCTGGCCCACCCCAGCTTCCAAGCCCCACAGGGCTCTCTCCACCACCCACCTGGCGTATTTTTGGAAGCCGATCTCCTTGGGGATGGAGAGGGGCAGGATGAGGAGGAAGGCAGTGATGCTGATGGTGAACTTGCGGTCCGTGTACCAGCAGCTGCTCCCAGCTTCCTCGGGCTCCTTCACCAGAGCAGCGATGACTGTGGGGACAAGCGGTGCAGTCAGGTTGTCCCTTCCAGCCAAAGGGTTATTTTTTTCCCCCCGTGGGACACACTTACTCTTGTCCTCCTGGTCTCCGATGATGATGAGGAAGGCGATGCAGGTGCCAAAGGTGTAGACGGCGATGGCCACCTCGCAGAGCACGCCCGGCACCTTCCCACAGACGGCCCACACCACCTCCTGGTAGGTCCTCTCGTTGCTGGCCTGCGAGCAGTACGCCAGGATGACCAAGCCTCCAATGATGAAGATCAACATGCACTGGGGTGGGGAGAAGAGACAAGGAGAGGACACTAAGGCAACAGTGTCACCGGGGCCCCAAAGCCACCCCTGGCAGCCACCCCCAAACACACATCTGGTTCATCTCTGGTGTGCCTCATCCAACAGGAGCCGGGTCATCCCTGAGCCCCTTCTGGAGCTCCACGCATCCCCTCCCTGGGTGGAAGAGGGGACTGTCCCTTCCCCACCCTCTCACCATCTGCAGGGCGATGCCCGCGGCCACCCCTCCGGCCATGCTGAAGGCGGCGGGGAAGTTGAGCAGCCCGGCGCCCAGGGCGGCGTTGACCACGATGAAGACGGCTCCCAAAGCCGAGGTGGCCCCCGGGCCGTTGCCTTGGCTCTCTCCACTCTTGGGCACCGTCTCCACGCTGGGGCTCTGCAGCAGCCGGGCCCGTTCCCCGGCGTCAGCGCTCCACTCCCAGTCCTTGCAGTCGCTGTTGATGCTCCCGGTGCCCTGCGCCATCGTCCCTCCCAGGGTGGCAGATGCCACCAATGATGTCCCACTAGCACTCCCGCACTGGGCTTGGCCGGCCACCTCGAGGAAGGTCTTCTGCCAGCGCTGGCTCCATCAGGCAGAGAGGGCAGCCAACGGGCAGCAAGGCTGTGGGCGGGCACGTCGCTGCTCCTAGAAGGGGAGGAAGGAGGACACAGTAAGTGTTAATTAAGGTACGTTAACAAGGGACAAGCTGGGCACAGCAGGAATGAGTTCCCCGGGTCTCAGCTTTGGGGGTCGCAGCACGCAGGTGTCCTCGTGCCAGCAGATATGGCAGGACTCACCTCTCCTGCCCTAAACCCGAGGCCAGGATGCCCCCCCAGGATGCCACCCCAGATGCCACCCCCCGGGGAGCTGCAGCCTCAGGGGGAGGACTCGCCCTTCCGCGGGCACCAGACCCAGCGTCAGGGCTCACTTCCTGCTTTCCAGCCCCGAATCCTGCCAGCTCCCCCGTCCACGTGCTCCCGGGGAAAGGTCAAGGCTGGACTTCACCACAACAACCAGCAGAAACGCCGTGTCACCAAGAAGAACCAGCACCGGCCCCTTCCAGTGCCACCCCCAGGGTGCCCACCGGCAGGAGGTATCTCTTGGACCTGAAGACCTGGTGTTTTCAGCAGCGCAGACCTCGGGGGGGTCTCATCCCGGTGTCCCCAAGCTGAAGGAGATCAACCCTCCCAACCTGGCTCCACGGGGACCTACACGGCCAAGGGAAACGGCGTTTCTAGGAAAAAAAAATCTCTTTCTTTCTTTCTTTTTTCCTTGGACGACACCTCCAGGGACTCCCCCTGAGCAGCCCGCCCTTGGCTCTTAGGCTATTTAAACCCCAGGCTTGTGCTTGGAACCCTCTTCAGAGGTTTCTGAGGAAACACCCCCAGGTTGGCTCAGGGGAGGAGAAAAGCTCCCCCGCTCTCCCCGGGGGACGGGTCCCGGACCCCCAGCTCCGCCGCCCCCCGTGGGGCCGCTTGGCCGAACCCCGGCCCCGGGGGGGGGAGGAAGGGGGTGGGAGGAGGATGCTGCAGGGTCCCCGCTTGTCCTTTCACCCCAGGCAAAGCCACCACGACGGCGACAACCAGAGCCGGAGCGTCTTGCCCCGGTGGCGGTCACCCCGCCTTTGCGGGGGATGTCCTCGGGGTGGGGAGGGGGTGAGGGGGGGGTTCCCCTCACCCCGGTACCCCAGTAGCTCCCAGCTCCCACTCACCGGGCGGTAGGAGCCCGCTCCGCTCCGCTCCGGCCCCGCTCCCGCTCCCGGTCCCGGCCCCCGTCGGGGCTCGGCGGCGGCGGCGCAAGGACCGGCACCGCCCTCCCCGCTGCACACCGGGGCTTGTAGTCCGCATCCCGGCCCGCCCCCGGGGAGGGGTGCTCGGCCCCGGGAAGGGATGCGCGTTCCCGGGAAAGGATGCGCATACCCGGGGAGGGATGCTCGTCCCCGGAAAGGATGTTCGTCCCCGGAGAGGGGTGCTTGTCCCCGGGAAAGGATGCTCGTCCCCGGAAAGGATGAATCCCCGGGGAGGGATGCTCGTCCTCGGGGAGGGATGCTCGTCCCCGGGAAAGGATGAATCCCTGGGAAAGGATGCTCGTCCCCGGGAAAGGATGCGCATTCCCGGGGAGGGGTGCTCGTCCCCGGAAAAGATGAATCCCCGGGGAGGGATGCTCGTCCCCGGGAAAGGATGCGCATTCCCGGAGAGGGATGCTCGTCACTGGAAAGGATGCTCGTCCCCGGGAAAGGATGCGCATTGAGGAGAAAAGCTCCCCCGCTCTCCCCGGGGGACGGGTCCCGGACCCCCAGCTCCGCCGCCCCCCGTGGGGCCGCTTTGGCCGAACCCCGGCCCCGGGGGGGGGAGGAAGGGGGTGGGAGGAGGATGCTGCAGGGTCCCCGCTTGTCCTTTCACCCCAGGCAAAGCCACCACGACGGCGACAAACCAGAGCCGGTGCGTCTTCCGAGGGTGACCCCCCCACACCCCAAAACAGCCCCACGGAACCCCCGCGGGCCCCACCGGGAGAAGCGAGGCCCCGGTGGCGGTCACCCCGCCTTTGCGGGGGATGTCCTCGGGGTGGGGAGGGGGTGAGGGGGTGGTTCCCCTCACCCCGGTACCCCAGTAGCTCCCAGCTCCCACTCACCGGGCGGTAGGAGCCCGCTCCGCTCCGCTCCGGCCCCGCTCCCGCTCCCGGTCCCGGCCCCCGTCGGGGCTCGGCGGCGGCGGCGCAAGGACCGGCACCGCCCTCCCCGCTGCACACCGGGGCTTGTAGTCCGCATCCCGGCCCGCCCCCGGGGAGGGGTGCTCGGCCCCGGGAAGGGATGCGCGTTCCCGGGAAAGGATGCGCATACCCGGGGAGGGATGCTCGTCCCCGGAAAGGATGTTCGTCCCCGGAGAGGGGTGCTTGTCCCCGGGAAAGGATGCTCGTCCCCGGAAAGGATGAATCCCCGGGGAGGGATGCTCGTCCTCGGGGAGGGATGCTCGTCCCCGGGAAAGGATGCGCATTCCCGGGGAGGGATGCTCGTCCCCGGGAAAGGATGAATCCCTGGGAAAGGATGCTCGTCCCCGGGAAAGGATGCGCATTCCCGGGGAGAGATGCTCGTCCCCGGGGGGAGATCCTCGTCCCCAAAAAGGATGCTGGTCCCCGGAAAGGATGCATCCCCAGGAAGGGATGCTCATCCCCAGGAAAGGATGCTCGTCCCCGGGAAGGATGAATCCCCGGGGAGGGATGCTCGTCCCCAGGAAAGGATGCCCATCATCCTGGGGGGAGAAGCTCTTCCCCGGGAAGGGATGCTCATCCCCCGGGACCCGCGACCAGGGGCTCCCCCTCTTCCCAAATCCCCGTCCCCGCCGCTCTGCGGCCGAACCCGGCGAGACCAAGGAGCGGGAGAGAAGGCAGGGCTGTGCTCCAGCTCTACTTTTATTGCAACAGAAAGGGGCAGCGCAAAGGCCCACCAGGAGATTAAAAGGGATCTCTGCAACCAGGAGGCAGCTCCGGAGCCAGGCAGAACCGGGGGGACCACAGCACCGGGCCCCACAGCGCCATGGGGCAGCTCCCGCAGGGGCAGGGAAAGCAAGCAGAGACTGGGGGAGGCGTGTAAACAACCACAGAACGATATGGGGTTGGAAGGGACCTCTGGAGACCATCTAGTCCAACCCCCTGCCAAAGCAGGTCCACCCAGAGCAGGTTGCACAGGAACGTGTCCAGGTGGGGTTGGAATGTCTCCAGAGAAGGAGACTCCACCACCTCCCTGGGCAGCCTCTGCCAGGGCTCTGCCACCCTCACAGCAAAGAAGTTCCTTCTCATGTTTAGGTGGAACTTCTTATATTCAAGTTTGTGCCCATTTCCTCTTGTCCTGTCCCTGGGCACCACTGAAAAAAGACCAGCCCCATCCTCCTGACACCCACCCTCTAAGTATTTATAAGCACTGATCAGATCCCTCCTCAGCCTTCTCTTCTCCAGACTAAAAAGACCCAAGTCCCTCAGCCTCTCCTCGGAAGGGAGATACTCCAGGCCCCTCACCATCTCTGTAGCCTCTGCTGTCCCCTCTCCAGCAGTTCCCTGTCCTTCTGGAACTGGGGAGCCCAGAACTGGTCCCAGTGCTCCAGATGGGGCCTCCCCAGGGCAGAGCAGAGGGGCAGGATGACCTCTCTCCACCTGCTGCTCACACTCTTCCTGAAGCCCCCCAGGATGCCATTGGCCTTCTTGGCCACAAGGGCCCATTGCTGGCTCATGGCCATCCTATTGTCCACCAGGACTCCCAGGTCTTTCTCCTCAGAGCTGCTCTCCAGCAGGTCACCCCCACCCTGTCCTGGTGCAGGGGGTTATTCCTCCCCAGGAGCAGCACCCTGCACTTGCTTCTGTTCAAGTTCATCAGGTCCTCCTTCTGCCCAATTCCAGCTCCGTGATACCTGGGGCAGCTTCAGCCCAAGCCCAAGGGTGCTCCTGGGGCACATGGGTGGGAACTGCCCTCTCTCCAGGTGGGATGCTCGGGAGACAAGGGTTTCACTGGCCATACAAGATGTCCTGTGCTGGCACATCTCTGAGAGGGAATGTTTGGTGCAAGGGAAGGACAGGATCCAGCTGCACCATGACAGGAGGAAGTCCCCAGCTCGACACAGCCGTGCACCGCTTTATTTGGATTTAAAAAAAAATAATAAATCAGAGTCCAGGGAGTGACGGGGCCTCAGGGACACTCAGGTCAAATGGACAAGGATGTTTTTTGGGTCAGCAGCTCTGACTTCCCTCAGGATCTTTCCCTCCTGTTTTCTGGCGTTAGCAGAGCAGATGAAGGACACCTCTTGTGAGAGTGGACACGGCAGGGCCACCCTCTGGCCTCGTGGCTTTGGGGGGGGACACAGCCAGACTCTGCTTGGCTGGGGGTGGTAGAGGAACAGGGAGAGGCAGAGACCAAGAGAGAAGATTTTTCAGAGGAGGTTCTTCTTTTTTTGGGGGGGGAGGTAAGGTATTGTTTCACCCCAGGGCAGAGGAGTGAAGTCAGGAGGACCAGGGACACTGCTCTGCCACCGTGAACGACACCTGAAAGGAGGTTCCCAGGTGGGAAGAACACAGCCAGACTCGGCTTGGCTGGGGGTGGCAGAGGAACAGGGAGAGGCAGAGACCAAGAGAGAAGATTTTTCAGAGGAGGTTCTTCTTTTTTTGGGGGGGGAGGTAAGGTATTGTTTCACCCCAGGGCAGAGGAGTGAAGTCAGGAGGACCAGGGACACTGCTCTGCCCCCCACACCAATGCCACCGTGAACAACACCTGAAAGGAGGTTCCCAGGTGGGAAGAGCGAAGCTGATGGTGGAACAGATTTTAGTAGTGAGAAGTCCTCAGAGCCGGTTATGGGAGGTGCTCCCCAGCCCCAGGGACGGAGCCTGGTGGCAGCAGGGACGGGCTGAGGAGGTGGCAGGGGTGTACCTGAGCAGCTCCCCCCCCTCAGCCCACCCAGCTCCCCACCTGCTGCCAACAGAGCCTTCTCCTGGAGAAACCAGCGCGGGGAAGCCTTTGGTGGCTCTGCCGGTGGGACGGCAGCGCGAAGCGTTTGCTTCCCCCAGCGTGGACGGGTGCTGGGGCTGATGGACACAAAGGATGGACAGCAGGGGGCCATGGCTGTGACGAGCGGGAGCCAGCAATGATGTCCCTGCTCTGCAAGGCAGGGTGGTTTTGACTAGGCTTCTACAACAACTCATCTACAAGATACATTCAGCAGCGGCATCAAGTGCTGTGGTTGGAAATATTCTGCTCGTTTCCTTTCCCTCCCCATCTTCGCCCGGTGGGGAAGGGAAGGCCACCGGCTCCAGGGCACACCTCTGTCTTTACTTTGTGACCTGATGGATGGCATGTGCCAGGTAACCTACGTTGCCCGACGTAACCCCCGCCACGGAGATCCGCCCGTCCTTCGTCATATAGATGGAGAACTCCTTGGTCAGCCGCTCCACCTGGGGGGAAAGGGCAGGGTTCAAACCTCTGGTAGCAAGAGGGCAAATTTACCCAGTTTGCCAGAACTGGGAGGGAACCGAGAGCCAGCAGACAGAATCACAGAATCATAGAATGAGAGCCAGCAGACAGAATCACAGAATCACAGAATCTTCTAGGTTGGAAGGGACCTTAAAGATCATCTTGTCCAACCGTCAACCTAACTGACAAAAATAGACACCCACACAACAAACAAGGAGCATCATCACTAAACCAGACCTCCCAGCACTACATCAACCTGTCTTTTGAACCCCTCCAGGGATGGTGCCTCAACCCCCTCCCTGGGCAGCCCATTCCAATGCCTGAGAACCCTTTCAGTGAAAAAATGTTTCCTAATATCCAGCCTGAACCTCCCCTGGTGCAACTTGAGGCCATTTCCTCTTGTCCTGTCGCCTGTGACTTGAGAAAAGAGACCGACCCCCACCTCTCTACACCCTCCTTTCAGGGAGTTGGAGAGAGCAAGAAGGTCTCCCCTCAGCCTCCTCTTCTCCAGGCTGAATAACCCCAGTTCCCTCAGCCTCTCCTCATAAGACTTATTCTCCAGTCCCACCACCTGCAGAGACAGCAGGGCACCCCGTGAACCAAGGGAGATGCTGCTTGGCTCTGGGCAACACACAAACCCTGCAGATGTCCAGCCAGGAGTGTCACCTCACTTGAGCTGACCTTTAAAGTCACCTCCGGGTGGCACCAAGTGACTGCTTCTTGTGACAGATAAGCAGGGCATGTCTGCTTTCAACCTCCACAAGCGCAGCAGAGTGAGACACGGATCCCCACGATGCTGCAGGTTTGGAGGATGTTCCTCCTGAAGAAGGAACTGCCCACCAGGGTTCATTTTGGAGCCCGCCATCAAGTTCTTACTGACAAGGACCACAAATGACACCTTGAGACCCCAGGAACCATATTTACCTGTTCAGGCTTCAGCCCCGTGAAGCAGAACATGCCGATCTGGTCAGTGATGTGCTGCCAGTTGTGGGAGGATCCCTCTTTCTTGAGGTTGGACACCAGCTGAGTCCTCATGCTAATGATCCGGTCAGCCATGCCCTTCACCTCCACCAGCCTGAGAAACCAACCCAGGAACCACTCAGAGCAGGGCTGGGACACAGCAAATCCCTGCTTACTGGGAATCAACCCTCTTCACCTGGAAGGGCCTCATATCCCAAAACCATGGGGGATGCCAATGAGCAAAGACCAGAGAACGTGAAACTCCAACTGGGGAGCTGCTTCTTTCTCTTGGTACCTGAAGGTGACTGCTATTTATTTATTCCATAGCTTTTGGACACTACTACCAGAGTATCACAACCTGGCTTCTGAAAGCTAGGGGTGAGCAGGAGGCCCCATGGCAGCACTGCCCAAACCCAGATAAAACATCTGAGTTATCTGCAGATAAATGCAGAGTGCAGGGGTACGTCCCACTGCAGGCCGACAGAGAACCACAGAATGGTTTGGGTTGGAAGGGACCTTAAAGCCACCCAGTGCCACCCCCTGCCCTGGGCAGGGACACCTCCCACCACACCAGGTTGCTCCAAGCCCCCTCCAACCTGCCCTTGAACCCCTCCAGGGATGGGGCAGCCACAGCTTCTCGGGCCAACCTGGGCCAGGCTCTCACCACCCTCCCACCAAACAAGTTCTTCCCCACAGCTCAGCTCCATCTCCCCTCTTGCAGGGTCAAACCCTTCCCCTTCCTCCTAGGGCTCCCCTCCCTCATCCAGAGTCCCTCCCCAGCTTTCCTGGAGCCCCTTGAGGGACTGGAAGGGGCTCCAAGGTCTCCCCGGAGCCTTCTCTTCTCCAGGCTGAATCCCCCAACTCTCTCAGCCCCCCCTCCCAGCAGAGGGGCTCCAGCCCTCCCAGCATCACATCTCCTGCTCCAAGGCAGCATGGCTTGGAGACGTCTCTGGTGGACCTTGGACCGGGCACCAGTGTCTGCCTGCCAGAGGAACGCAGCTCCCAGCGAGGCCACCGCACACTGCCAGCCTTTGTTCTGACAGGCCAGCTGCAGGGAGACCAGCCACCGAGGGGCTGGGAGAGCAGCAGAGGCTGGTGCCAGGAGGAAGGCTTAGGGCACGAGGGTTACGTTCCTGGGTCTCATTCCCAGGGAGCCTACGCTTCCAATTCCACTGTGGGAGACATACTACGTGGCAACAATGCTTTTAGTCTGTCCTTTCTACTCCTTGGGCAGGCAGCTCAATCCCAAGGGAGCTTTATCTCCTCCTCTACAACACTTTCTGTCTTGGTAACACGAGGGAAACCTGTTCATGTCAGGCTGCATTGACACCAGCTGATGCCAGGACAGGAGCAGGGATTTCTGGCCCACGGTCCCGGCTGTGCCCCTCAAGCTGAGCTGCCCACGACAGCGGCACGGAGGGGCTGCCACGGGGACCTCACATCTCACTCTGGTCACCCTTGGGGGTCCCCTCTTACCACTCCTTCCGTAGCTCGGGGGTGTTGAGGATGATGGAGGCGATGCGGGCTCCGTTGAGGGGCGGGTTGGAGTACATGGGGCGGATGAGGATCTTCAGCTGCGATTCCACCCTCTTGGCTTCCTCTGCGTCACTGCAGATCACCGTGAAAGCACCCGCACGCTCTCCTGAGAGAGGGAAGGGACAATCAGGTCCCAGCCTCTCTCCTCAGCTATCCAGAGCTGGGGTAGGGACTTAGCCAGACACCACGCAGCTTTAGCGGAGCCCTGTTCTCCAGAAGTCTCCAGAGGCTTGTCTCCTGCGCCCCAGTCGGTACCGCAGGATGAAGGTGGGCAGCAGAAAGAGACCAGCTGCTAAACCCCAGAGGTCCCTCCAGCAGCCTGGATGAAACCCCTCCCACACCACCACCCCCACTCACCGTACAGCCCCATGTTCTTGGCGTAGGACTGCGACAAGACCACGTTGATGCCCTGCTCGATGAAATGCCGCACGGCCCAGGCGTCCCGGTTGATGTCCCCGCTGGCAAAGCCCTGGTAGGCCATGTCAAAGTACACCAGGAGGTTCCGTTTCTGCCAGCAGAGAGGGAAGAGAGGGTCAGGAGAGCTCAACACCCCTCCAGGGAGCAGGGCAGCAGGCTGAAAAGAGCTGTGGGGGCAGTTCTCCAGAAGTAGAGCCATTCCCCTTCTGTTTGCCACAGGGAAGGCAGCCCAAACCCCACAGCCACCACACATCAAACAGCAGGTCAAGACCCTCCCAGTGCATTTATGGGCTGTGCAGTCTGGCCCAGGGGACAGAGTTGCATTTAAGCAGTAATAAATTATTCCATTTCAGTGTCCCCTGGGTTATCAGCTTCCAGGAAAACCACCTGGGAACTCCCAAAGCCCTTCCAATGCCTCTAGGCAGATAACTCAGCCGCGCTGCCTCTCAGACCTGCAGCCATCTGTAGGCTCCAGAGGCCACCAATTCTAAGGACACTATTACAGCCAGGCATCCCCAGACCAGACAAATTTCATTGCCTACAGCTGAGGGAGGAGAGGAGGTGGCAGGGAGGAAGAGGAGAAGGAAGAACCTGCCCCCATATGTTTCTAGCTGAAGCTTGTGAGGAGACACCAGTCACGAGGAAGATTTTCTGGCATTTTTATTCCACCAGCACTGGGTGCCCCTCTCCTGTTATCACAGCTCACTCTTACACCCTCACAGCTCACTCTTACACCCCTGCTGCTCTCCTTTCGGGTCTCCTCACCACAGGTTCCTGGGCAGGCGCCAGCAGAAAGCCTGATGGTCAACTAGAAGCTTTATGGGTGCACTTGTCTGGCTCCTGTCTTCTGTACAGGAACATGACACCCCCCCTGGCTCCAGGGAAGGAGTAAGTAACCTTTTAGAGCAGTGAAGAGCAGATACCACCCACAGAAGCCCAGGGATGTGGTTTCCCAGGAAGAACGCAGTACCACTGGGACAATCCACCGCTCACCTTCACCAAAGCTGCCAACTCCTTCCACTGCTCCTGCCGGGGATCCACCCCGGTGGGGTTGTGAGCACAAGCATGCAAGAGGATGATGCTCTTCTCTGGAATTTTCTAAGGAAGATGTTATAAAGAATGAATTATTAATGGCACTCAAGCGCTCTCCTCAGCAGCTGAGAGGAGAGTCTTGCCCTAGACCGCTTCGAAATGCTCTGCAAGGCTCCTAGCTGGGATTGGGTGCCTTCAGGCATCATATTTAGGCTAAAGATGATCACCCGTCTCCCCGCGTCACCTCCCTGCTTCCAGGCACAAGAGGCAACTCACAGAAATGTCATCCATGGCTCCAGAGAAGTCAAGGCTGCACGTCTTGGGGTCGTAGTAGCGATAAGCCTGAAGCTGCATGCCAGCATCACGGAAAATGGGGGTGTGATTGCCCCAGGACGGTTTGGGTAGGTACACATCACGGCTAGACTTGAAAAACCGTTGCTGATCAAGAGAAAGACAGAGCGTTCAAAAAAGCAGTTAGAAAACCCCAACATTTCAGCTCTGGTTAAAAGATCTCCTTTCCTTCCCCCACCAAAGGCACTCACCAAAAAGTTGGCTCCAATTCTCAGGGATCCCGTCCCAGAAATACCCTGCACAGTGACATACTGCAAGGGAAGGAGCAAAGACATGAGTCTGAGCAGCCACGACATGATACAGGGAAGAGCCCTGTCACTACATCAGCATTAGCAGCAGCTCATCTCTGCCACAGCCCACCCCAACACCAATATAGGTGCCGGGCACCAGTATAGGTTAGGGGTGGACCTGCTGAAAACACTTCTGAGGAGAAGGATCTGGGGGTCCTGGTGGAGAGTAAACTCTCCATGAGCCAGCAATGGGCCCTTGTGGCCAAGAGGCCAATGGGATCCTGGGCTACAGAGGGAAGAGTGTGGCCAGGAGGTGGAGAGAGGTCATCCTGCCCCTCTGCTCTGCACTGGGGAGGCCACAACTGGAATCCTGCCTCCAGTTCTGGGCTCCCCAGTTCAAGAGGGACAGGGAACTGCTGGAGAGAGTCCAGCCTAGGGCAACAGAGATGATGGAGGGGTTGGAGCATCTCCCTGATGAGGAAAGGCTGAGAGAGCTGGGGCTCTTTAGCCTGGAGAAGAGAAGGCTGAGGGGAGACCTTCTCAATGCTGACAAGGATCTAAGGGGTGGGTGGAAGGAGGATGGAGCCAGACTCTTTCCAGTGGTTCCCAGGGACAGGACGAGGGGCAACGGGCACAAGCTGGACCATGGGAAGTTCCACTCCAATGTGAGGAAGAACTTGTTTGGGGTGAGGGTGGCAGAGCCCTGGCAGAGGCTGCCCAGGGAGGGTGTGGAGTCCCCTTCTCTGGAGATCTTCAAGCCCCAATGGATGTTCCTGAGTGATGTGCTCTGGGCAACCCTGCTTTGGCAGGGGAGTTGGACTGGATGGGCTCTAGAAGGTCCCTTCCAACTCTGACGATTCAGTGATTCCAATAGGGACATGGGGCTTGGGGGGACCTCACAGGTCAGCAACTCCAGCTGCAGGGCAGGGAGGGGACACCCCTGACGAGGTGTTCCCCTCCCTCCTCAGCAAGGCTTATTTCACCGCAGCCTTCAGAGGAAGCAGTTCTCCTTGGGTCTGGCCAGTTTGCAACTCAGAGGCATGAGCACCCCTGCCAGTCCTTCCCCTTTTGCTGAGCACCCACGTACCAGCAGTGCTGCCCACCCCCTTCATTCCAGCCCCCTCCTTACCCGTCCGCTCTTGAAAGCCTCACTGTTTTCACCCAGAGCCAGTTCTGCAGACGCCCGGGTGAAATCCGCCAGCCCCCCAATGGGCAAGTACTCCTTGTCCATCTTCTTGGATGCAATCATGGCCTCCGCCTGGGGAGGAGAACACACGTTCAGGAAGGAAAGCAGAGACGGGGTGAGACACAGCCATGGAGAAGGCAGCAGCCAGCTCAAGGTCCCTTCTCTTCACATTCACTCATGCACAAAGTCAGTTTATAGCAATTCCCCTTCAGAGATCAGGGCTCACTCCAAACCAGGGCAGCAGTCAACATTTCAGGTGACATTTGGCTTCTACCACGGGGCCAGGTTGCCCAGTGGCCACCAGAGCCCTGGGTGGTGGCCAGCATCACCCAGCAGAGCCAGAAAACCCAGTGGCCAGAGGAGAGCACCACTTCCAGCCCGTTACAAGTCAACGCTGCTGCACAAGGACACACATTTCTTTGCCCAACAGGAATTGTCCTGCAGGAAGACAAGACTTGACCGTCAGTGAAAGGCAGAGATTTGTCCCTACGAAGGGAGACACCCCAGAAGCAGGCAGGGCAGCAAGCCCTTTTCCAGGGCCTCGTCACGCTCGTTATTGAACTAAATGGAGCAGGTTAAAAGAAAATAATCCAGAAACCTCAGGCAATTTTAAAAGCAGCCTGTCTGAAAACTACCTCACCCAACCCTCAGGTATGGCTCCCCCCAGCTTTGCTAATCTCTACTTTTTTCCAGCAGATCCCAAATCAGAAACCAGTCCAAGTCCCTCCCTACCACAGGATCAGAGAGTGGAACCAAGAAGAGCAGACAAGGAGCCATGCTCAGGAAAAATACAGTGACGGGGACATCTGGAGTGCTCTGGGAACCCTCTCTGTGCTCCCAGAGTGGTGGGACAGATCTCGGAAGCGTTCACCTACCACCAGGAAATGGTTTCTGCCACACCACGGAGGTTGTGACCCAGCTGCAGTACATGCTGGCACAGGGCAAGGGATGGATTTAAACCCCAAACTGATGAGAAACATGGACAAGGCACCCTCCCTACACCAAGGAGGGCAGCCAGTCAATGTGCGTGTCGGCTGCCAGCTATTTAACAGCCTATTCCTACACTTGCAGCCCTGAAAGGCTCCGTAATCCCCTCAAGGGCAGTGTCCACATCCAGCTCCCTGGGTTGGAGTTTTAGACTGGCTTAGGGGGAAACTGGTAACAAGGGCTCAGCAGAATTTCTAAGACTAATCCATTAAGGGGACAATGTCAGCTCTTTCCTCCCATGTGGGTTGGGAGGAAAAACCTTGGAGTTCAGAGGACAGCTGGGCTGGAGGGCTCGTGGAAGCCAGAAACAAATTGGATTTACCTGGATGGGAACAGGACACATATCCCCTCTACTACTTAACAACTGGCTCTACTGTGTCTCAAAAGCATTAGTACTGCTAAGGAAGACATCCAGGAACATTGTCCCACCCTGTTAGAGACAAAGTTTTTATTCCAAGGACCTAGTGGCCCTCCCCCTCCCTGACCCCCCAGGGTGTCCAACACATTGATCCAGCACTGGGCTCACCTTGCGAACGCAGTTCAGGACGTAGGGCTTCCCGTTGTCATCCCGGTACGCCCCCACCCCCAGGTTCATCTTCTTGGAGTTGGTGTCGCGCTTGAAAGCTTCTGTCACCCCCAGGATGGGGTCGGGGGGACCCATCTCCACGTGGGACCACCATGAGCTGAAAGGGAAAAAACAAAGCAGCTTAGAGAGCTTGAGAACCGGGCAAGGATGTGCACCCATGTGGCTAGGGAGAAAACCTCACAGGAGATCTAGTCTTTAAACCACTGGAAAAGGTACAAGCAGTGCTAAGAGAATCAACCAGGGGGGAAAAACAAACCCAACAACTCCTTTATGCTCCATGATTTTATGTTGCAGAATGGGCAAAGAGCCTCAGTTCGCTGTGGCTGAGGGTCACTGACCCCCTCCAAGTCATTAATGGCCCCACTTGCCTTATGTGCTGACACCAGAAAGGCCCCAGGAAACAAAAAAACCCCTTAAACTCTTACGTTCTAGCCAAGTGCCACCTCTTCCCAGCCTACAGGTGGGATCACGTTTGGTGAGTCCCCTCCAGGGAACCTTGGCCAGAACCAGGCAACTGTACGAAGGATAAATATGGAACCTCTTCCAAACTCCTGGAAGGGCTCTTGTGCATGAAAACTAATCCGCCTTTCCTGCAACCCTGGCTGACCTACTGAAGATCTTTCCCTTCCCTTCCCTACTAACTCTGCCTCACTTGAAAAGGGACGTCGCAGCCAAATGCTGTTTGACTGGAAATGGCAGAGGACACTTTCTTCCCAGCACGACAAGTGACAACCTCCGATGCGAAGGCTCCTTCCCTTGCAGCCAAGTACAAAACCTCCCTGCGACAGGAGGAGCTTTACTCCCTGCTCTACAAACCACCTGCCTCTGCCCTTTTGGCAGGACACCCTGAAGATGGAGAGGCTTCTCTTAATGTCAAGGGCAAACCAGGCCGTGCTATAAAAAGAAACCCGTTATTCTCTCTTTTTGGCACAGCCTCTGCCCAGTCCCACCACCAGGCTTGTAAACAGGGTGAGAGAAGAGGTGTGGTGGTTTTCAACCTGGCTGACAGGGGGCTACAGCAGTGATAGCCCCTCTCCTGAAGGCAGGACCACTAAAGAAGAGACTCCACACAGCTCTGAGCATCCTGATTCACAGGATCTGATTACCCAAATCCCCAGAACTCGACTTGGGGACAAAGCATGTGCCACAAAATAGATTGGGTTTATCTCCTCTGGGGCAGGATTCAATCTTGATCGCTAAAGGAGAGACGGGATGGCTCCCACAGCTAAAGCTTTTAGGGGAAAGGCACCTCACGTGAAGATAACAAGCTTTTCCCAACTTGTGGATGCTGTTCTGGGGCTGGATCCTGCCCTGGGCGATGCAGGCAGCCTCCAGCCACCCCCAGGCCAGCCAGTCCTCTTTTGGTGGGGTTAAAGGTACAGCATGGCTGAAGGTAGCAGGGCCAGGCAGGTTAAGCAAGCTTAAACACAAACCTGATCAGCAGAACTCACAAAATCATCTTCCCTCTCCGCTCTGTCCCTGGTTTGGGTCCATTTAGACCCAGTTTAGGCACTATGTAAACATATTTTGCCCTTTGTATGTAAGACCACATCTCATGAGAGCCTCAAACATCATTTGCCCTCTTCAGACTTAACTGCTCTTCCCACCAGTACGGTATTTCCAAATAAAAAAAGCCTCTGTTTCTCCTTTTGACAGGCTCTGTGACAAAAAAAAAGGCAGGAAACACGGAGACAGAGCCACCTTGGGTAGTTTAAAAATGGAAGACGTGCTTAACGTTTTCTAGACCACTAACAAGCCTTAATTACCTCTCTGGTTAAGTACAGGATCAACTCAGAAAGGAGGATGAGTCAGTCGTGCCCGTAACGCACACCCTGCGAGCCCAACCTGAGCAGGACACGCCGAGGGGGGGCTGGTGGGGCAAAAACCCACTGCAGGTTCAGGCAGCACCCAGTGCTGCTGCGAGAAAAACCTCTCCCCAGCCATGGAGGAGCAGAAGAAAAGAGAAATACACTCTGCACAGTAGGGTTTACCTACTCTAAGGTTATTTGGGTGTTGGCAGGAGAAGAGAGAAATACACTCTGCACAGGAGGGTATCACTCCATGGTTTACCTACTCTAAGGTTATTTGGGTGTTGAGGGCTGCAGGAACCCAACCATCGACTTTAAAAGAGTTGCTTCTTCCCAGAGGGTAACGGCTTTTCACCAAGAGGCTTAGGGTGTTTTGGGTATTTAGGTCCCAATCCTGCAATTGAGGGTTGCAGGAACCCAACCATCTACTTTTAAAGAGTTGCTTCTTCCCAGAGGGTAACGGCACCTTCTTTCTGCCCGGCTTTTCACCAAGAGGCTTATGGTGTTTTGGGTATTTAGGTCCCAATCCTGCAAACACTTAAGCAGGTCACTGGGCTCTACTAATGCTGCAATTAATGCTGATCCTGCGGGCATTTACCTAAGCTGCAGCACTCCGGAGAGTTTTAAGTACTTTCGTTGGGAGCCAGTCCTTCTATCGGCTTAAGGTAGCGAAGGGTAAGTTCAGGACTGATTTTCCCCATTCTCAGCCTGAAGGTTTTCAGGTAAAGGCTAAAGAAAGACTCCTCTGCTGCTTCCAGAGAGGTGAACTTGCAGGGCAATAGGAGAAAAAAGTCCAGGCTGAGTCATCCAAAGACACCAGGATACCCAAGAGATTGCAAAGACAAAGCTTTCCAGACAGGGGTTTGGGAGAAGAGACCTTCTAGGGATCCAAGGTCTCAAGTCCTAAGGCACCATTACCCCCTGTGTTGTGACATTGTTGTCTCTACGCTGTGTTCTATTTGGAGCAATTCAAAGCTTCTTGAATAAAAGTCAAAGTAACAAACTGCACATCCTCTCTGCCAGGCTGGAGGTACCATTACCCCCTGTGTTGTGACATTGCTGTCTCTACGCTGTGTTCTATTTTATTTGCAGCAATTCAAAGCTTCTTGAATAAAAGACAAAGTTATAAACTGCACATCCTCTCTGCCAGGCTGGAGGGATTTCAGTGTGGAAAACTAAATGAAGGCAAGTTTAAGCTGAGGTTGAACTACCTGAGGTCAGCCAGAGAAAGCACCTTCTCTAGCTTCTCCACACTCAAACACGGATGGCCAAATGAGAATTTAGATGATGAGCAGACCCAAGAATCAAGTATTCTCTGTGCTCTTCAGCCAGGCTGGTCTTTTGAGCTGGTCTAATGTGCAGCTGTGAGTGCAGCACGACAGATGGAGACCACGAGAAGGCAGGGAAATGCACCAGGAACCGCATAAACCTTTAAAAATGTAGGTGGAACTCATGGCTTGAGCTGCAGAAAACTAAGAGCGTGCTCAGGGCCTCAAGACAAACCCACAAAGAAAGCAAGTTCTCCTGTAGGTAAGCATGTATTCACAAGTCCAGTGAAGGTTTCCATTGTGAAGAAGCCAATTCATGTCCCCCTGAGGCACAGTCACGTTAAGATACTGGATTTCAAACCCTCTGCCAAAGCCCCTGCAGCAGTTCTGGAAGCAGAGGGGCCAAAGGCGAAGCTGTCAGGATACCACCGCTAAAGCAAATATTTACACAAGAACAATGCCAACAGGCTGCTGGCTACTGCCCTCCTTTCAAGCCTAAAAATTCTTTGCCTCAGTCAGTTGCGGTAAGGCTTCCCACAGAGAAAAGCATTTAAAATAGCTGTCTGGTGATACACGGGAACAGGAGACTGAATTATCACCTTAATTAGCATTTGTTTGTCAAGGGGCCTGTTTTGACCATTTCGTATCTCTTCCCCTCTGTCCCGGGATTTCAGAAGACCATTCTCAGCACAGAGGGCAATCTTCAGCTCAAGATAAGGGAACAGCAAACTGCTAATCACCCCTTGGCATCCAGGAGATGCCCGGGAACAACCCAAGGAGGGGGGAGGAAAGCTCTGCAGGAAAGCTCTCTACTTACACAAGGGATGGTCTACGCCTCTTTTAGGTGACCTAGATTCCACGTGGTAATTTCTGCTTTGCTGTATAACGAGCTTGAGAAAAGCAAAAAGCTATTGCCACCGAGCTTGTGTACCTTTCCCAGGTCCTCTACAGCAAACACAAGAAGTTCTAGATACCTGCTCCTCCGTACCTGCCGAGAAGAGCCAGGAGCTGCCCCAGAAGAAGCAGGAGCTGGGAGCATGTGTCTCACGAGGCAGCGAGGGGCCATCACGCTGGGCAGAAGAGGGTTAATCAATATCTAATAGCCTTCATTAGCTGCTAGAATGAGGAAATCAAAACCACACTGACAAGGACGGGGAACTATTCCTTAAAGCTTCCTGAGCTGGCACGGGCCAGGAGTCAAAGGGCTCTGGAGAGCAGCCCGGCCTTGCCCAGAGCCCTCTGCGTGCTCTGGCTTCTTGGCTGGGGACGGTGGTGTCCCCAGCCAGCGCCCTGTGGCTCCCAAGTCACCTGTACTTTGTGGAGGTGTTCACAGGGCTCCAGCTGCACCCAGTGTCCTTCTATCCATCCCTCTGCCTTCCTGCACACCTGAGGGCACGGCTCTAGCGCAGGCGGCGCTGCACACTCACTGGCAGCAGCACCCCATCTCACGGTGCCTTTGGAGTCCCTGTGGGTCCCTGGCACGGTGTGTGCCAGGCAGAGGACCCCAGCCCCCTTTCACAGCACACGGGGTCCTTCGTGCCCTCTTGTCGCAGTGCATGCGGCGCTGCACCAGCAGCACCCCAGCCCCACTGCACAGGATGCCCCCGGCCCCATTTCTGGGTGCACCCCACCACCAGCAGCACCCTGACCACAGCGCAGAGGATGCCCCCGGCCCTACTGTGTGGTGCGGGTGGCCCCCCCTGGCCCTGGTGCACCCCACCAGCAGCACCCAGGCCCCATTTCTTAGGGCACAGGGTCCCTCACAACCCCCTTTCTCCAGGCACAAGGTCCCCAGTCCCTTTTCCCGGTGCCCAGTCCCCCCAAACCACCCCCCTGGCCCTGTTTCCTGGTACCCAGGGTCCCTAGCCAGTTTCTCGGTGCAGAAGGCCCTGTCCCGAGCCCATTTCCTGGTGCCCAGTGTCCCCAGCCAGTTTCAGGATGCACAGGACCCTGCCCCAGGCCAATTTCCCGGTGCTTAGGGTCCCTAGCCAGTTTCTGGGTGCACAAGGCTTCGCCCCAGGCCCTGTTTCTCTGGGCACAAGGTCCCTGGGACCTTTTCCCGGTGCCCAGTCCCCCCAGACCGCGCTCCCCCGGCCCTGTTTCCCAGTGCCCAGGGTCCCCAGTTGGTTTCAGGATGCACAGGACGCTGCCCTAGGCCCTGTTTCTCCGGACACAAGGTCTCTACCCCCTTTTCCCGGTGTCCAGTGTCCCCATCCGGTTTCTGAGTGCACAATGCCCTGCCCCGGGCCCCCTTTTCCCGGTGCTTAGGGTCCCCAACCGGTTTCTGGGTGCACAAGGCTTCCCCCCATGCCCCGGGCCCTTTTCCTGGTGACCAGTCCCTCCCCACACACACCCCCTCGGGCCTGTTTCCCGGTGCCCTGTGTCCCCAGCCAGTTTCTCAGTGCACAATGCCCTGCCCCGGGCCCATTTTCCCGGTGCTTGGTGACCCCAGCCGGTTTCTGGGTGCACAAAGCTTCCCCCCGGGCCCGTTTCCCGGTGCCCAGTGTCCCCAGCCGGTTTCAGGGTGCCCAGAACCCTGCCCTAGGCCCCGTTTCTCCGGGCACAAGGTCCCCAGGCCCCTTTTCTCGGTGCCCGCGGTCCCCAGCCGGTTTCAGGGTGCACAAGCCTTCCCCCCAGGCTCCGTTTCTCCGGGCACAAGGCTCCTCCCCGGCCCCGTTTCCCCCCCGGTCCATCCCGGTCCCGCACCCCCCCTCCCTCCCTCCCCTCACGCCCTCCATGGCGGCTCCTCAAGGGCAGGCCGGCGGTGGGCGCCGGGCCCCGGCCCCGACCAATCAGAAGGCCAGGAGGGGCCGCGCGCCCCCCGACTCACCGCGCGTCCCAGCCAATCCCAGCGCCGTTACCCCTGGCAACCCCTCCCTCCCCTTCCCCAAACGCCAACGTCACCGGCCGCCCCTACGGGCTCCGGGCAGGGACACGCTTCCTCTCCGCAGCCCCCCGCCCCGCCTCACGGGGACACCGGGCCCCGGCGGCAGGAAACACCCCCCCCCACACACACACACCGGCCCCGGGAGTGTGGCCGCTGAGCCGCCCCCTCAGCCTCTCACCTGGCCCGGGCAGCGGTGGCGGCGAGGCGCGGGGCGGCGAGGAGCCGGCGGGTGTGGAGGAGAGCCATGGCGGCGAGCGGCGAGCGAGGGGCTGGCGAGCGGGCACCTGACGGGGCGGAACGCCGGGCTGAGGGCCCCGCCCCGCGCATGCGCTGCGCCCCGCCCCGCGCCGCCTCACCGCCCCGCGCCCCCTGGCGGAGAGGAGGGATCCCTGCAGCCGGTAGGACCCGCTCCGGGATGGGGAGGGCTCGACTGGAACGCGGTGGGGCCGCACTGGGCTGAACTGGTCCACCTTGGACCAGGCTATACTGGGCCGTGCTGGGACATAGAGGACTGTGCTGCACCATACTGGGATGGGGAGGACTGGACTGGACTAGAACACGGTGGGGCCACACTGGGCTGTACTGGGACGTAGAGGCTTGAGCTGCACCGTACTGGGCTGTACTGGGCTGAGGAGGGCTGTACTGGGCCATACTGGGATGAGGAGGGCTGGACTGGAACGCAGTGGGCCACACTGGGCTGTACTGGTCCACCTTGTACCAGACTGTACTGGGCCATACTGGGACGAGGAAGGCTCAAATGGGATGTGGTGGGCTGTACTGGTCCACTTTGTAGCAGGCTGTACTGGGCTGTACTGGGACATAGAGGCTTGTGCTGCACCATACTGGGCTGTGGAGGGCTGTACTGGGCCATACTGGGATGGGGAGGGCTTGACTGGAACGCGGTGGGGCCGCACTGGGCTGTGCTGGGACATAGAGGCTTGACCTGCACGTTATTGGGCTGTACTGGGGTGAGAAGAGCTGTACTGGGCCATACTGGGATGGGGAGGGCTGGACTGGAACGTGGTGGGGCCGCGCTGGGCTCTACTGGGATATGGAGGCTTGTGCTGCACCATACTGGGCTGTACTGGGATGAGGAGGGCTCAAATGGGATGTGGTGGGCTGTACTGGGCCATACTGGGATGGGGAGGGCTGGTCTGGAACGCGGTGGGGCCGCACTGGGCTGTACTGGGACATGGAGGCTTGTGCTGCTCCATACTGGGCTGTACTGGGCTGAGGAGGGCTGTACTGGGCCATACTGGGATGGGGAGGACTGGTCTGGAACGTGGTGGGGCCGCATCGGGCTGTGCTGGGACATGGAGGCTTGTGCTGCACCATACTGGGCTGTGGTGGCTGTACTGGGCCATACTGGGATGGGGAGGGCTGGTCTGGAACGTGGTGGGGCCGCACTGGGCTGTGCTGGGACATAGAGGGTTGTGCTGCACTGTACTGGGTTGTACTGGGCTGAGGAGGGCTGTACTGGGCCATACTGGGATGTGGGGGGCTCAAGTGGAACGTGGTGTGCCACACTGGGCTGTACTGGTCCACCCTGTAGCAGGCTGTACTGGGCCATGCTGGGCCATAGAGGACTGTGCTGCACCATACTGGGCCATACTGGGACATGGAGGGCTCAAATGGGATGTGGTGGGCTGTACTGGGTCATGCTGGGCCATAGAGGACTGTGCTGCACCATACTGGGCCATACTGGGACATGGAGGGCTCAAATGGGATGTGGTGGGCTGTACTGGGTCATGCTGGGCCATAGAGGACTGTGCTGCACCATACTGGGATGGGGAGCACTGTACTGGGCCATACTGGATGGGGAGGGCTGGACTGGAAGGCGGTGGGCCACACTGGGCTGTACTGGTCCATCTTGTACCAGGCTGTACTGGGCCATAGAGGCCTGCACTGCACCATACTGGGCTGTACTGGGGTGAGAAGGGCTCAAATGGGACGTGGTGGGCTGTACTGGGCCATACTGGGATGGGGAGGGCTCAACTTGGACGCAGTGGGTCACACTGGGTTGTACTGAGCCATAGGGGGCTGTACAGGTCTGTACAGAGTTATACTGGGCCATACTGGGCTGTACTTGGCCATATAGGACTACATGGCACCATACTGGACTGTACTGGGCCGTACAGGATTGTATTGGGTCATACTGGGCTGTACAGGGTTGTACTGGGCTATACTGGACCATTCTGGGCTACGAAGGGCTGAACTGGGCCATACTGAAAAAGGCAATGAAACCCCGGGATCTGCCCTGGGGTGTGGTGGAGAAGGACGGGTTGGACCATCCCTGGAGGGGTTCAAGACCAGGTTGGAGGGGGCTTGGAGCAACCTGGGCTGGTGGGAGGTGTCCCACCAGAGGCACTGGATGAGCTTTGAGGTCCCCTCTGACCCAAACCATCCTGTGATTCCCTATCCATAGATAAAACCACCGGAATATTGTGGGACGGGGATGGAACTGGAGGGACCTGGATGGGCTGGAGATGTGGGGCTGGGTGAACATCAGGAGGTTCAACCAGGTCAAGCGCAGGGTCCTGTGCGTGGGTTGGGGGGGCCATCCCAGCACAAATCCGGGGCTGGGAGAAGAGGGACTTG